TGGTAGAGAGCATATTGGATAGAAGATAACTACCTATATGTGATATTTTAAACTTCTAGACACTGCAGCCCACTGAAATGTAAGTTTCTTGAGGAAGGAGGGTTTTCTTATTTGTCTTTGTGTTCCGAGTTTTCATGGTGGTGTCTGGCATGTAGCTGGTATCTATTAACTACAACTAACCCTTCCTTCCAAGTCACATTTGAATAAAATGAACAAAAATACAGACTGGAAGAGTTAATATTCCCTTTCCAAAGAACTAAGGGAATAGTTACTCACTAGAAGATAATATTACTTATTATCTCTTATATAATCTTTTAAATTCCTTTCACCCAGAAACTTTAATTACCAATGGGCAAATGCTTCTCTAATTATTTGGACCTAATTCCTATGTCATAGTCAAATAATTGGACTTGTAAATTTTAACAAGAATAACTACAAGCAAGTAAACAAACTAAATAATGCAAACATTCATATTTCACAGACCTTCTTGGATCAAAAAGGAATATTTTTGGTAACTGATAATTTTAGGGAACCGATTATATTCTATTCATTGCATTTTTCCCTACTCAAAAAGTATAAAACAAATGTTCATTTTTTATGAGTCAAAATTGCAACATGTATAAATAATTGGTTTTCAATGATGCATGCAAATAATATCAAAACTTGTTTTAAATGTGGAAGCAATTGTGAATATAATTACAGAGTGTGCAGTTCAACACCCTCTTCCTCATTAATATATATGGACCCTCTAATGGATGTTCATCATTCCTTGGGAATCAAATCTGGCAGGTCAGTCCAAAGAAGATCACTCTTCCTGGCTGTCAAATAGATAATAGCCTAAAAAGCAAATCAAAAGCAATATCCAAATCAATTGCAACATTTAGAAGAGCAAGGCCCACTTAAAACTCAAACTCCAATTTCGTTAGTACTCAGAAAGAAATATTAGTTATAGGGATACAAAATATGCTACATAAATCTTACCTCTTCTCATTTGACCTCTCCCCCTCCTATTTTAGTGGGTGTTAGCCAACAGGGATATATTGGCTTTGACTGTAGTGGTTGGGGATGGGTGAGAAAAGTTGCTTCCTATATTTGTATAACTCGTGTGTTTGTGTGGACCTATGCACAACCATTCCTGTCATTGTTGCAAAATTCATAGTAATTTCTCAGTTTTGCAGACTTTGGCTTACTCACATTTGTAGTTGCAAACTACAATTAAAATTCTATGGCTTTGTGTCATTTCCTCTAGAGCATCTCTTTTTGGGTAACCTGTAAAAGACAACGGGATGAGTGGGTCATATAAACTCCATGAAGCTGGCCAGGATATATTCAAGAAGGCAGCTTTGGAAATGAAGGTGCATAGGCTCAAAAATCCTTGGGCACTGCCAGCCATCTTTGTTATGTCATCTGTTGCTGTGACCATCCCTCTTCCCAACCCTAAGTCAATGTAATACATAAGCTGATCTCGAAGCCTTGAGAAGGATTAGTGAGCTGGTGAAGGGCAGAAAGAAGGAAGGTGTAGAGAGTTTGAACAACCCGTGCCAATGTTCAAATGGTGGAAATATGGCTCTTCTGAGGAGTTGAGAGGGGATTGGAAATGATGGAGCATTGCTTGCATGTGAAGATGAGGCTGGGCAGCCGGCAAGGGTAAGATCATGTAGACTTGGGCAGGACATGCATAGCCATATAGAAATCAATTGCAACATTTAGAAGACCAATGTCCAATCAAAACCCAAACCCTAATTTTATTAGTACTCAGAAAGAAATGTGAATGATAGGGATATAAAATATGCTATGTAAAGCTTATCTCTTCTCAGTTGACCCTCCTTCCTTCTATTTCAGTGGATAGAGTAGGTGAAAGAGGCATATTAGCTTTGGTTTAAAGTTCATTCTGAAAGTTAGGCTATTTGGTGAAATTTTTCAAAGATGGAGCAACATAGCTAGATATCAATTTTAGAAGTGATAAAAACCCATCCTAAAGATGTGGTTGGGGTGGTGGGAGTGAATAGATCTTTAAGATGTAGAATTAACACTGTTGATGACTGGCAGTCAGAGTGAATTTAGTATGACATCCACATTTCCAGGCAGGTAACTTGAAGGACGATGGTGCCATTGATTAAAATACGTATTATTATGTATTACGGTTATTGTTAGAGAGCAAATATGAGATGAGGGATGGAGATTTTAAAAAAGAAGATAGTGGCTCATGCCTGTAATCCCAGCACTTTGGGAGGCTGAGGTGGGCAGATTGCTTGAGCTCAGGAGTTTGAGACCAGCCTGGGCAACATGGAGAAATCCCATTCTACCAACAAAAAACCAAAACATTTTAGCCAGGTATTGTGGCACACGCCTGTGATCCCAGCTGCTTGGGAGGCTACGGTGGGAGGATTGCTTGAGCCCAGGAGGTTGAGGCTGCAGTAAGCAAATGGGTCCCACTGCAGTCTCAGCCTCGGTGACAGAGTGAGACTGTCTCAAAAAAAAAAAAAAAAAAAAAAAAAAAAAAGGAAGAAGAAGAGAAATGTTTTATGGAGATTTTTAGCATGTAGCTCTCTAATGTGCACAGCTAAAACAGGAAAAACAACATCATCAAAAACGACAAAGGGATGCCCAACAACCAATCCCCAGAAATTCTGATTTAATTGGTTAGAGCGAACTGAAGTTAGGTTTTTGTTTGCGTTTTTGTTTTTTATTATGGTAAAAAAAAAAAAAAAAAAAACCAACAACATACATGAAAAAAAAAAAAAAAAAAAAAAAAAAACCAACAACATACATGAAATACACCCTCTCAACAAATTTTTAAGTGTACAGTACAGTATTGTTAACTACATGCCCGTTGTTATACATATCTGTTGTGCAAATCTCTAGAAATTTTTCATCTTGCATGACTGAAAGTCTATAATCATTGAACAGCAGCTCCCCATTTATCTCCCTCACTAGCCCTCAGTATCACCATTCAAATTCCTCCTATGAGTTTGACTGCTTTAGTAGATACCTTATATATGTGGAATCATACAGTATTTGTCTTTCTGTGACTGACCTATTTCACATATCATAATGTCCTCAAGTTCTTCCATGTTGTAGCATGTGTTAGGATTTCCTTCTGTTTTAAAGCTGAATAATATTCCATTGGATCTACACACCACATTTTCTTTATCCATTCATCAGTTGATGGGTCTTTAGGTTGTTTCTACCTCTTAGCTATTCTGAGTAGTGCTGTAAGAAACATGGAGGACAGATTCTCTCTTCAAGATCCTGATTTCAGTTCTTTTGTGTAAATACCCAGACATGGGAATGCTAGATCATATGGTAGCTCTATTTTTAATTTTTTGAGGAATTGCCGTACTGGTTTTCATAGCAGCTGCTCTATCTTTTTTCCCTACCAACAGGGTACAAGGGTTCCAGTTTCTCCATTTCCTCGTCAACATTTATTCTTTTCTTTCCTTCTGTTTCTTCTTTTCCTTTTTTTTTTTCTTTTAATAATGGCTGTCCACACTGGTGTCAGATGGCATTTTATTGTGGTTTCGATATACATTTCTTTGATGATTACTGATGTTGAGCCTCTTTTCACACACTTGTTGACCATTTGTATATTTTCTTTGCAGAAATGTCTATTCGAGTCATTTGCCCATTTTAAAATTAGGCTATTGATTTTTTGCTATTAAATTGTGTGAGTTTCTTACATATTTTACATACTAACCCCTTATCAGATACATGGTTTGCAAATATTCACTCCCATTCTGTAGGTTGCCTTTTCACTCTACTGATTGTTTCCTTTGCTGTGCAGAAACTTTTTAGTTCAATGCAGCCGCATTTGTCTACTTTTGCTTCTGTTTCCTGTGCTGTTGGTGTCATATTCAAGGGATCATAGGCATTAGGTGTTTTTATAAAGTTCCCCCAGATGACTCTATTGTGCAACGAGGACTTAGAATCATTGGTCAAAATTATACTTTGCTATGATGTAAAGCCTATGGTTCCATCTAGACATGAAAGTTCTCTCAGTAGAACAGGCCAGCAGCTGACCACATTTATTGTCTATGTGGCATGGTGATCCCTACATGGAGGAGTGTGTCTAAATTTCTGGATGGGATAAGAGTGAGGTAGTGAGAATATAGCTGGAAAGAGCATATTCAATATTGTTACATAATTTTATCTCAGAATAATAATTTTTTCATATTTTAAACTAGAAAAAGTAACAATCCACTGGAGTAACACAGTTCAGAAAGTCTAGAATGTCAGTTCTCTGAGGACAGGGATCTCTGTCCCTGTCCACTGCTGTATCTCCAGCCCCCAGACAGTGTCTGGCACATTGTAAGCACTCAAAATATGTTTGTGCAAGTGGCTGAGCCAGAGATTGGATGTGGTTCTGTCCACAGTGCCTGGAACTGTTGTTTTCCTCTTTTTATCTGGCCTCTCAGCGCTTCCTCTTTCCTGCCAGCCTTGTCTTCCCGTCTTAGCTCAGAGGAAGCTGTGTCCAGCAGGCATCTTCCTTCTGTGAAGCTGTAAGGGCTGTATGCAACTGGGTCCTGAGTGCAGTGTGTGTGTGTTGCTGGGCAGTGGGGGAGTGGGAGGGGTAGAGGTGGGGGGTGATAGGGGACAGGGGGTGAGGGCATTGGTTCATCCAGGAAATGTCCATTTACATACTAAAGTCTGGTTGGTCTGGAAGAATAGCTGAGCACAATCAGTCCTGTGTGTCCACAGACCATGAAGCTTAATATAAGTTAAGCCCAACCATATTTAACAAAATATTATGTCACTGTAGTCATGGAGTGACAATCATAAAAGTGTTAAAAGAAAAATATAAAGTATGCACTGTATTAATAAGCTATTAAACTTCATCCTTTCATTGAAATCATTTTCACTTGTATTTTAACAATCTGTACATTATCAAATGACAGTCTGTTTCGAATATACCTGATAAAATTTTAAAAAACCATTGACTTGTTTCTATAGCATAAATGTGAAAGCTTTCAGAAAGAAAAAGAAGAAATGGAATACAAGTACAGTTTTTCATAATTTGTATTTTATCATTTTTGAGCACTCAGATGAGGATTTGGGAAAATCTTCATGTCACTCTTCTAATAAAGCCACAGTGAGCACTTCATGCTGCTTCCACTTCCCACACACAAACTTTCTAATTATAAAAGGACCTTTTCAGACTTATTCAGGGCATATAATCTTATTTGCAGCTCCTAATTGGAGGACTGTGTTTGTTGAAAAGAACAGAAGTCTTCAGTCATTTAGAATAAAGCTGGCCCATCAACCCCTGTGGGAAGAAAAGAACTATTTATTTTATCCGTTAATCCCAAATACAAACACAATAAAGCTGTCTTTTCTAATAGTGACCTATTTCATGTTAAATTGGGATAAAGCTAGCTTTGCTCAATAAGACTATTGTGGTCAACAAAAAAGTCAATCTTATTAGGATTCCCATTGAATACCTTCCAATAACTTATCTTTTAAAATGCTAAACCCAAATCCCAGTTGAATTCTCTACGTTGTCTGACACAAAATGCAAATCTAGAAAGGAAATAACCTCAACTAGTGAGCCCCATCTAGTGGCAGGGAAGTAAATTGCTGGTCAAAAACCTGGTCTCTAATTTATTCCTCATCTTTAATCTGATTTTTAAGATTCTTCTATTTGTGCCTAAACCCTTATGTTTTTGTTTCTTTCTGAGGTCTTTTTGCCTGTATTTTTATTTCTAAAACTAAATAACTTTCTATACCAAGCACATTTTTTCTTGATAACTTACAAAAATGCAACATTGCTTAAAATTAGCCAGATTTTCCCATTGATTTTATTTTAAAATATTAATTTTAAAATGTGGAAAGTCATGTTCCTTGAATAGCATTACAGAGCACTCATGTATTAAACTATGTTTGATGTAAATAATATTATTCACTTATCAATTTTATTTTATCAAAAGACCCCAAAAGCTCTTTCTTGATATGAGCTTTAGAGGAGCAAGACCGAGTCACAGACAAATCCAATGGAACATCTAAGGACATTGAAGATTTCGAAGTCTACTTTCTTGGGCAATGTCTACATTTGAGGATTGTACTGGCTTGGAGGTCGGCTTCTTTTAGCCAACTACATCAGAGTTTAAGTGCAGTGTGTCTGCCTTCCATGCTTCTGCATTTCTCGACTTTTAATAAACATGTCAAAAACGAATAAGGCAAGAGCAGGGCTCAGCTCCAGTCATGCATGAGAAATGCTTTTGCTAATAATTCTGCCTTATAAATGCAAATCTTCTTTGCTCCCACAAAAAAAAACTTGACAATAGCCAAATGAAGTAGAACATATTCCTCAATTTACCTACACTTAAGATATTTCAAAATATATTTCCACTAGCCTATGTGCTCAAACCACAAAAGCAGACATAGGTATATAGAGGTATCTGGGCTATGGAGGAAAGAATAAACGATTCAAGTTCAGATATTAACATTGCCCTTCATTGGCTGCACGACCTTGGGAAGCCAAATCTCCCAATAAGGTGCCATGAGTTCAGGCTATGGAGCAGACAATCCCTATTTCTCCGCCTCTCAGCTGTAAGACTTTAGACAAATTATTTCTCTAAGCCTTGACTTCTTCATGTATCATGATATTTATTTCCTTCGTACAGGAAGATTGTTATGAAGATTGACTGATAAAGTATGTGAAGTGTGTAGCTCAGGGTCTGGCACATAACAGAGTGCTCAATGAATACTATTATGACTCACAAATGGAGAGACCAGTGCCCACCTCACAAGATGGTCGGGAAGACTCTAAGACATGGGAAAATGTTGGTCAACTCTAAGGTACTCTATCAATGTTATGAGTTAGACAAACCTAGTAGGATCCTCTGAGAAGACCTAAAAATAAAAAGAGAGCTGTTGAAATGGAAGAACATGGGGCTTTCAAAGGTCAGCACAAGCTCCGTGAGCTGAACAGAATTATTGTAGGTCTAATAATTTGTATTGTTGGCTTACATTGTATTTGGGGTTGCAAATTTTTGAAAAGAAGAGAATGATAGAGTTGGAAGGGAGATTGTATTAATTTAGTTTTCTTGTTTTACTGAGGGAAAAAACCTAACACCCCTTCCTTCTTCAGAACTCTTTGCATACTTGAGATCTTTTAAGAATTTTTAAGTATTTGTTTAATGTCTGCTTTTGCTTGGACTGTAAGACCCATGTAGTCAGGGGCCATGTCTATTTGGGCTGCACTGTATCCTCAGATGTAGCCCTGTGTCCAGCAGTGTCTAGTAGTGTCTAGTACCTTGTCTACACATGGTAATTGCAGACAAGCTCAAAACTGCCATATAGGAGTACATGAGGGCATGGACTCCTCAGGGAGGAAAGGCTGGACACAAATTGGACCTCTCTGGTTTACTTCCCGTGTGACTTTGGGCAAGCTACTTAGCCTCTCTGAGCCTCAGTTTCCTTGCCTATAAAACAGGACTAATAATGGCAGTACCTATTTCACAGGGTTGTTCCAGAGCTTTATGAGCTAATTCCTGTAAAGTGCCTGGAATGGTATAATTCTATAAATTTTCCTAAATGACCAAGATAGCAAAGCCAATTAGAAAGTGTTCTGGAACTAGAACCCTACCTAAGTCTTGCTCTTTATTTTTTTTTCCCTCCATATCTTTCAAACCCTCTGCCCAAACCACTATTCCAAACCATTAGATCTTATCAGATAAAAAGAGCAATGCAAAATAAAGTATTGGATGATTCACTCAGAGGTGCTGCAGGCCTTCCAAGTCTAGCAGCAAGTTTTAGGAACTGATTTCAATGGTGGTAACAGGCTTATTATTGCTAATAACCTCCCAGTGTCTAAAGCACAGAGCTGTGCAGAGTATTTCATATTTTGCTCTAACAGCCAGTCCTTAAGGGTTTGACTCTCAGATGTAGGCATACTGGATTATGAAAATGGCACATTTAAAAATATCTCTGCACCTCACTCCTAGATGACTTTTAGCAGGTGAACTAACTGTTAGCCTCCTGGAAGATTAGATGTCAGGATAATTAGCTCTCTGCCACATAGGCTTATCTACTTTTCAAATCTTACTCTCCTTTCTTCCCTATGTCTCTTAGTAGACACAACTCATAATTACTTTATGCCTGAGTTTTCCCCTTTCTTTTCAGCACACTCATAAACCACCTCCTTGTCATGACTTATTGCACCTCACGCTCAATTCATACTGTTAGCTTTGACGTTCTCTTTTGTAATTCAGTTTGTATTCAAATACCAGAGAAAACAAAGAGCAAGTTAGACAGGTAAACCAGATAATGAGTATTACCTACAATGACCCATTCTCCTGTCTCTCCTTGGTCTTCAAAATTCCATGTGCTGTGGAGGAAGTAAAAAGCGCATTTTCCCATTTCATGGCATGTCCAGAGGTCTGTGAGTTGCTTGTTTCATTGTCTAACGTTAGGGTCTCTGAGCTTTCCCATTTCATTATTCTGTACGACCTGGACTCAGCCTTATAGAACTGGGGAATAACTTTCGCTTTTCTATTACAAATGGAGCCAATGAAAAGGTAGACTGAAAAAGAATAAGATGGAGTGGAGAATTCACCAAAGGAACCATACAATTACAGAAATTTCTGGCTGGAAGAACTTTGAAAGGCTCTCTGCTCACCTCCCTGTACGTTAGCTCTACCTCATGCTGATGGGATGGGTAATTATGGCTTCTATTTCAAAAGACTTCACAGGATCCATGCCTCTGCCTTCCATTTAAGACAGTTCTTCATGTATGCAGCAAATACCTCCTCCCCTTCTAGTTCAAACTCTTTTCTTTCTGTTGTTAGGAAGAAGAGTTGGTTAGTTTAATGCCACCTAGAAATACAGATGTCCAACAGGTAGAAAGGAGAGACTGCTTCAATTCCCAGCTTCCTTCCTCTCCTACAACCCGTAGACTTTGTTCTCCAGCTTCTCTGGGTATTGCTACAGTTTGATTTATTGTGAGAACTCCAGGATTTCCTGAAAATGGTCTAGAACTGAGCCAGTGTTTGAGGTACAAGAAAAGAGAATGAGGAATGTTTCCTCCGTTTTCTCTTTCCTTTGTCAGCATTGTTGTACCATTTCTTAGGGACTCTCACTACTTCCTCACCCCACTCCACCTTCACAGCTCAGAAAATGTGGGGCAAAATCCAAGTCCTACGAAACTTCCCTTAGGCTTATGCCCTTAGCTCTATCCCAAATCCAGATCTTCTCAAAACTCTAATTAAGGGCTTAGAGTCCTAAGGACCAGGAGTTTTCTAAGACTTGTAGATCCAGGAATTGCTACCTAGTGACCTAAAACTGTCAGAAAATTCCCCCTACTTCACTCCCATCTGTAGTTTCCTTAATTTTTTTTTTTTTTAAATGCTGAGCACGACTTGATAGTAATTTGCTGGGCTACTTTCGACACATATCTGTCTTCGTTTTTGGACACCAGTGATCAGCCTATTGAACTTTAAGTGGTCTGGCAACATGTGTAATGAAGAGCAGTAGTTCAGGGGTCAGGCTGACCTTGGTCTAATGCTCCACTATTTCATTTATTGTTGAATGACTTTTGTCAGATTGCTTAACCTATCTAAGCTTTGGGTTCTTTCTATGTAAAATGGAGCTGATGCAGACTTCAGGGTTTGATAAGAAGATTAAAGAGAGAATTGACGTATGCAAAGCACCCAATACCATTCCTGGCCTGCACTAATGATTTCAAACACATTTATTTCTCTCCCCTACTGGATAAAGGGCAAGAGCTATAGCACCTTAGGCATTTAGTGGTTTCATCAGTTAAACTGAGCTGCCTTAATAGCAACATTCACTGGAATTGCTAATAAAAGAAATAGTGACTTTCTGTTATAGAGACTTAATAAGAGTCTCTATTGTGTACTTGCTGCGTGCCCCATATTGTTCTGGGTACTGAGGCTAGAAAGGCAGTAGGGCATAGGGTTCCTGTACTGATGAAGCTCAGAACGTAGAATCATCTGGCACATATGGGCCACTTCATGAACATGTAAGAGTCACATCGGGATTGACTTAAGATTTTAGAGGACCTAAGCACTAAAAAAATTACAGTGATGCCGCTTCCATATATAATTAAAAATAAGAGCAGTATTAAGTCATAATTAAGTGTAAAGAAGCAGAACAGTGCTCCAGTATTTTTCCTACTGTGATAACAAACTTAGTACTTCTTTTGAAATATCAATTTTTAAATTATTTTTTTCAAAGTGATATTTTTTGAGGTATCCTCATTTTGTAGGCAACTAGTATACTTACGGATAATCTAGCCCTGGCCCCACATTACCCCAAGGACTGGCCTCATGTTCCCTGAATGGATCAGAAGCTAGAACAATGGCATAGAAGCCACAGGTCTTGATCATTCATAAACTATTTGGTAAATTCCACTAAGAATAAAAAAGTAATTGAATATTTTGAGGCAAGATCAAATCACCTTATAAAAAAGTAAAAAGTAAAAAAGAACTGGCTCAATTCTAGACCATTTTCAGGAAATCTTGGAGTTTTCACAATAAATCAAACTGTAGCAATAACCAGAGAAGCTGAAGAATTTGAAATTATTTCCAAATATATGGAATATTTTTCTCTGGAATGGACTTTTCAAAATGCACAAATGGGACATAGGAGAAGTCATATTTAGATGAGCATATTGTAGAGACAATTTTTTGTTATATCTTAAAGGACTAGCTCACTGCTCAGCTGCTTACCCCAGCTCTGTTGTTACAATAAAGATAATATGCTGAGAACGATGGTGGCATGAGACATTCACCAGGATGCAAAGGTACCTTTTTTATTTTTTTTTTCTTTTCTCAGTTCCTCCCTTTCTTAAATGGAGGATGTTTTCTCTGAAGGCCACAGTCTGGCTGTAGCAAGGCTGGCAGTATCTGGAGAGGCTTACCTGAAGATCTAGCTGAGAGCCACTGACATTTGGAGCCACTCACCTTTACACTGCAAATCTGAAAGATAAGCAACAAGAAAGACCTAGAAACAGTGACAGAACTTTCTCACAGACAAAAACAATTTACACAACCACTGTAAATAGTTAATAAAATCCATTTTGTAGTCCATCTACTTAGATTTCCATTACATCCTGTTCTGTTTCACACATGCATTTTTCTTTTGGATTGTTAGGTAATAAAGAGTCAAGTCATTTATCATGTAGTGTCTTAGTATTACTTTAAAATGTTTTACCATTTTCAGGAAATTATGTGGCTTCTATAATTAATCTCCCAGTAGAAGCTGTTTTAGAAAGACTCCAGAACAACCAAAAGAAGTCTTTTCTTTGTGGAAGTGTTTTGGGTCTTGTGAGTGGAAACATTCAGAAACAGATGCCAGTGGTATTATCACATATTGCAAACTGTTCATTTAAGATAACGAGGATGAAAACAATAGAGTTCAGTCTCACTCTTGCAAAACTGCCCTGTGACAAAGCTGTTGTTAAATGGGGTCCACAATGAACTCCATGATATGCTATAATTAGAGTAACTCTACAGTGTAAAGCTGGGTTTCCACAGTTCTTATACCCTAAATGGATACAGTAACACTTGGCAGAAGTAAGGAGGAGAGTTCCCACCCACTGACCCCTTCCCTGCTTGGCATTAGTAATACTAGTTACTACTGAGCACTTTCCACATATCAGGCATTGTTCTAAACATTTTTACACATATTGGTTCATTTAAATACTCACAACTTTCTGAGGAAGGTGCTGCATTATGCTAATTTTTGGATTAGGAGACCGATACACAAAGTAATTGGAGGATTTGCCAAGGGCAGACTTCTCAAGGGCTGAGGCAAGGAGCAGAACTCAGGCAGCCTCGCCTCCCAGTCCAGCCCCTCAGTTGCTGTACTCTGTGGCCCAGCATGGTATACAATGTTCAGTGTTCTATTCTCACAATCTAATTTACACTAGCACATGGTCAGGTCATTCAGTCATCTCATTTTACAGAAGAGAAAACAAAGGCAAAAAGATGCTAAGTGGCTTTGAAAATCTCAAATACATGATGGTTACAGGGCTGGGCATGGTGACTCATACCTGTAATCCCAGTACTTTGAGATCCAAAGGCAGGAGGACTGCTTGAACTCAGGAGTTTGAGACCAGCCTGGGCAACATAGTGAAACCCTATCTCTACCAAAAATTCTTTAAAAAACTTAGCCAAGCTAGTAGTCCCAGCTACTTGAGAGGGTAAAGCAGGAGGTTTGAGACTGCAGTGAGCTATGATCACAACATTGCACTCTAGCCTGGGCAACTGAGACCTTATCTTGATGAAAAAACAAAAAACCAAAAATGAGATGGTTGGGAGGTCAGATTGCCTGATGTTTAGCCAACGCTTTCTACTTTAGAGCATTGTATCATTTCCTCATTTTCCTTCTCCGTGTAAAAAAAAGAAAGAAAAAACACAAAATCTAAACTGTTGCTTTATTTTTTCTATGATTCATCCTCATGGGTCACAAGCAAGAGCAGAAGTTTGCTTGGCCTGTATGCTGAGCACAGCAAACCCCACTCTGGGCCCAGGTTCTGCCCAATGCAGCACTGGCTTTGCTTCTTGAAGGCAAATGAGCAGTTTTATTGGCTTTATCCTCAAATTATGGTTTTAAAACAGTTTGATCTCACACTTGGGCAGATTAATAAGTACTAGGAAGTGCCCCCATCTGTAGGGTGTATCTATGCAAGAGATCAAGAGAACAATTTGAAAAACCAGAGACTGGATAATCTCTAGAAAAATGTTCTTGTTTCCTCCAAGAAACTCCACAGAATGATCATATTTATTTTCTTCTGCAGTGTCAAGGTTACATTTTTGTTTGTTCCACTTTGCTTTTTAACAGGGTTATACCAAGTGTGGGCTCAGGTGGTTTTTGTGGGGCAATCTGACCTTCAGATTAACCTCATTCTAAGCCAGTTAGGTATCGTTTCTTCTGCATAACCACCTGATGCGCTTATTTGAGAGTGTTTTCTTCCTAAATGAGGACGAAACTGGTTATGATGAAACCACAGGCAATGCAGAGCACAGGTAGGATTTAATCTTTCACAATGTCACTTGATTAAGCAGGCAATCATCTTCTGCCATGCCTGCAAGGAAAATTTCAAGTCATGTGAATTCTTATCTCATCTGCATTAGTCAGAGTGCACGAGATTGGAGATGGTATATGCAAAATAGGTAATACATTTAGAGTATTTAATAAAAGGACTATTTACAAAGATGGAAACAGGGTGGAGGAAAACACAAAAGAGATAGTGTAGCACCCCAAGGCTAGCCTGAGCAGGGAGCCATCACCTGTAGACTTAAAGAGAAAAGTTATAGGGATTGGAGAGAGAGCTGCACATGATAGGAGCCGTGGCTTCCCAGAAAGACACAGACACCCATAGTAACCCAGCAAAGAGGAAGCCAAGGGAATGGATACTCTAGCCTCAACCCTCCTCCTCCCCATTGACCAAATTCAACCAGAGGACACGGTACCTATTGAGGTGGTCCAAAGGGGACCATCTCCCAGGGCCCGGTGCAGGGGACGGGGCAGAGGAAAGACACCCAACACACTCTCACACTAAAGTCTGAGGTAAAATAACTTCAACATCCCTTCCTGCTGTGACATGAGTAGTTTAATAAAGAAGTAATTAGGAAAAACAACAACGATGTGGAATTAGGTGACTAATTTTATGCCTATGCCTATGGCTGAAATCAGAGTTGTAAATTCCTCATTGTGTTTTATGAGTCAGAACTGGATGTACCCAAAGGGTCTCAAGAAAACTCTGGGCCTCAAAATAGGCTCTCTGATAACAGGGCAAGGAGAGCCAGTGGAAATCAGTTCCTACCAAGACAATGAGCACAATCAAAATTAAACAGAAACATAGATTTAAGAAAGGATCACAGGGGCTTACAATTTTTGGCCTAAAATCTACAGAGGCACGCACTGCATTGAAAGGCCCATGTTTTAATGGAATAAATGAAACCTAATTTTGTTTTGTCCTACACGGCTTTGTTTAGTTTCATTTAGTGGTTTAGGCAAAAGGCCATCCAGAGGAAGGAGAGGTGGGGAAATTTGAAGATGTGTCCAGTGGACAATTTAGAGATGGCATTGATGCCCCAAGTAAACTAGGATATAAAGAGATTATAGTGAACCCAGTTCTCAGCCATGTAATAAGAGCAAAGACTTTTGGTGCTTGGATAAGAGAATAGTGTGGTGTTAGAAGCAAAGATTTGGAGTCCCAGATATCTACCTATTAGCTGGGTCACCTTGAGCAAGTTAGATAATCTCTATAAGACTCAGTTTCCTGCTCAATGAAATGGGGAAAATACCCACCTCTTCTATGGTTGTTTTGTGAATTAAATAAAATCATGTGTTTAAAATCCTTACTATGGTGGGGTGGCTGTCAAGATGGCTGAATACGAACAGCTCTGGTCTGCAGCGCCCAGTGAGATCAGCACAGAAGGTGGGTGATTTCTACATTTCCAACTGAGGTACCTGGCTCATCTCATTGGGACTGGTTAGATAGTGGGTGCAGCCCACAGACGGTGAGCTGAAGCAGGGTGGGGCGTCCCCTCACCCGGGAAGTGCAAGGGATCGGGGAACTCCCTCCCCTAGCCAAGGAAAGCCATGAGGGACTGTGCCCTGAGGAACAGTGCATTCCAGCCCAGATACTATGCTTTTCCTATGGTCTTTACAACCTGCAGACCAGGAGATTCCATAGGGTGTTTACACTACCAGGGCCCTGGGTTTCGAGCACAAAACTAGGTGGCAGTTTGGGCAGACACTGAACTAGCTGCAGGAGATTTTTTTCATACCCCAGTGGCACCAGGAACACCAGTGAGATAGAACCATTCACTCCTCTGGAAAGGAGGCTAAAGCCAGGGACCAAGTGGTCTAGCTCAGCAGATCCCACCCCCATGGTGTCCAGCAAGCTAAGATCCACTGGCTTGAAATTTTTCCTGCTAGCATAGCAGTCATAAGTGGACCTGGGATGCTCCATCTTGGTAGGGGGAGAGGTGTCCACCATTTCTGAGGCTTGAGTAGGCGGTTTTCCCTCACAGTGTAAACAAAGCCACCAGGAAGTTCAAACTGGGTGGAGCCCACCACAGCTCAGCAAAGCCTCTGTAGCCAGGCTGCTTCTCTAGATTCCTCCTTTTTAGGAGGGCATCTCTGAAAGGAAGGCAGAAG